TTAGTTTATTTAAAACTATATATCGAAGTGATTACATAATTGAGTACCGAAGATCGAGAGCATATAATGACGCACTTGCTCTCGTCACTCCTTTCCCTCCTACCTCCACCATCTCCCCAATCCTCTTCCCCCAACACTATGTCGTTGCTCTTGTTCTCTCTAGCCCAGTCCTCTGCCTACAAGTGTCCCACCGGCGGGCACTCTGCCTGCTTCAACATAGGCAATAAACATCACCATACTTGTCTCTCCAATCTGCCGCTGCGATGCCCGTGCTGAGCCTCAGATCCCGCAATGATGCCACCGAGCTGACTACACCGTCCTTCATCATAAAGCGTAAGCAGACAGTCCACTTCATAATAACTCGCACAATAGTTGCTCATCCCTCTCCTCCCAACTTCTTGTCTCCCTTTCATCCCTCCCGCTCCTCGCTCTGCCTCTTGCGTTGCCTCTCCTTCATTGTCCTCCTTTGTTTACACTCGCCTTCCTTTTTGCATTCGCATTCGCACATCCGCATTGTTGACTGACTTCTTCAATAATTCCATGCATTCGTGTACTTCTTCCCGCTCAGCAACGCAAGCAACAATCGGTGAGTATGTGCTCGCGACAATGTCCATGTATTACCACTCCTCAGGCGCAATCCTCTCTCTGACCCCCCGCACACTCTCCTTCCACACCTACCATCCTATGCTTGACATCACCCTCGATGGGCCCACGCTGTGTGCATTTATATACCCCAGCGCCGTCCATGACACCATTTTGAATAACAGAAGCAGTAGCCACCGCTCACCTCTCCTGAGCCAAGTCCGCCCGCACCACCCACTTCATCCTCTCCCTTCGAGCCAGAACGTCCTAGAGATACACCTTCGAAGTCATCCACAACTATTACTGAGTTCACTGCACCTCCGATTGCGCGTCGCGTCGTAGCTAGAGCATGCAACGCGCTTGCACAGACACGTTTCCCCTGCAGCCCAAATTAGCTCGCTCAACGCTCCGGATTTCCAATCCAGGTGACCCACCCACACTTGCTACACGCTGTCGCAGTGCGTCCATCTTTTCGCTCTTATTGTCACTTGCTAATCACTCTAAGCTCGTCTCACAGGCACAGCCTCAATCTCCACAACCTGCTCAACCTCATTCCACACACACTCGCAGTTCAACTTGCAGGGACCGAGCAACGACCAAAACGTGGTGACGAAGACTACGTCGAACGGGCCTGAGAATGCAGTCATCCTTGTCCAACACAAATCCCACTCGCAGAAGAATGAGGCAGAGGCAGCTGGTGGTGTAGGGGTTGGGACTGTAGAAATAGCGTATTATTTA